TTAAGATGTTCTCATGACAAGATTTTATAATTAATTATTCCCGATGTTTTGTATAATCTTGTCTTAGTAATGTAATCAATTTGAATTTGTTTAACAGAAGATAACAAGAAAGAGAAAAAGAAAGGAAGAATGTCGGCTAAAAAACCGAAAACACCGGAACTGGAGAAGCCAGTGATAGAAACAGTGGATATAAAATCAGAGAAGGCTGAATCTGAGAAAGAAATTAAAGCTGAAGATTACGTACCCGTGGTAAAACAAGCTGATATAGGTTAGATATATGTTTTATATGACTTGGATTGTAATCAGGTTTCCTACTTTTTGCATCATTCCAATTTTCTGTCAGATGTCTGTAGTTACTGTAATTATTGAAATGATCTTATTGTCTTTAAAACTGCTAATACGGTGTAAGAGCCTTTGCTATATCTGTCTTATAAAAGGCTTGCAAGAGCCACAGACGTCTGATTGGAAATACTATCATTGTCTCCGATACACATAAAATGTTTAGTGTAAGCATTTTTAGGTCACTCTCTTTGTTTTTTGTTTTAGGTATTTGTGTTTGACCTGTGTTTTTATGTATTTTAGGCCACACTTTGTTTTTTGTTTTAGATATTTGTGTTGGACCTGTGTTTTTATGTATTTTAGGTGTATTACCGAGAGATATGAATCTAACTATAGAAGATTTAACAGATATACAACAACTAGATTATTTATTCCGAGCTCACGTTATTCTAGCTCAGATTCACGGTCGTGGTTCACCATGTTATAAAGATACCTTACTCACAGCTTATAGTTATTTACAACGTATCTGGCAGGTTGGTAGAATTTTACCTTTTTTTCAATAATTTCAGTTATCAGTCTTCGTTATCCAGTCTTCGTTATTCAGTCTTCGTTATTCAGTCTTTGTTATTTCAGCCATTGTCGTCCCAGTTTTAAATGGGAAAGGACTAATGTGTAAAAAGTATCCTTGAGAACCTCAGTTGTTTTCCTTGTAAATTCAATGCCAAGAGGAAAGTTATTTTGTCAACGTCTTCTGCCTGATTTGTTTTTAAATTCATGTATTTTTTCTAGGTATCGATCACTGCTAGTGGACCTACTTTATGATTTGTTTTTAAATCTATTTATATTTTTCTAGGTATCGATCACTGCTAGTGGACCTACTTTATGATTTGTTTTTAAATCTATTTATATTTTTCTAGGTATCGATCACTGCTAGTGGACCTACTTTATGATTTGTTTTTAAATCTATTTATATTTTTCTAGGTATCGATCATTGCTAGTGGACCTACTTTATGATTTGTTTTTAAATTTATGTATTTTTTCTAGGTATCGATCACTGCTAGTGGACCTACTTTATGATTTGTTTTTAAATTTATGTATTTTTTCTAGGTATCGATCACTGCTAGTGGACCTACTTTATGATTTGTTTTTAAATCTATTTATATTTTTCTAGGTATCGATCACTGCTAGTGGACCTACTTTATGATTTGTTTTTAAATCTATTTATATTTTTCTAGGTATCGATCACTGCTAGTGGACCTACTTTATGATTTGTTTTTAAATCTATTTATATTTTTCTAGGTATCGATCATTGCTAGTGGACCTACTTTATGATTTGTTTTTAAATTTATGTATTTTTTCTAGGTATCGATCACTGCTAGTGGACCTACTTTATGATTTGTTTTTAAATTTATGTATTTTTTCTAGGTATCGATCACTGCTAGTGGACCTACTTTATGATTTGTTTTTAAATCTATTTATATTTTTCTAGGTATCGATCACTGCTAGTGGACCTACTTTATGATTTGTTTTTAAATCTATTTATATTTTTCTAGGTATCGATCACTGCTAGTGGACCTACTTTATGATTTGTTTTTAAATCTATTTATATTTTTCTAGGTATCGATCATTGCTAGTGGACCTACTTTATGATTTGTTTTTAAATTTATGTATTTTTTCTAGGTATCGATCACTGCTAGTGGACCTACTTTATGATTTGTTTTTAAATTTATGTATTTTTTCTAGGTATCGATCACTGCTAGTGGACCTACTTTATGATTTGTTTTTAAATCTATTTATATTTTTCTAGGTATCGATCACTGCTAGTGGACCTACTTTATGATTTGTTTTTAAATTTATGTATTTTTTCTAGGTATTGATCACTGCTAGTGGACCTACTTTATGATTTGTTTTTAAATTTATGTATTTTTTCTAGGTATTGATCACTGCTAGTGGACCTACTTTATGATTTGTTTTTAAATCTATTTATATTTTTCTAGGTATCGATCACTGCTAGTGGACCTACTTTA